GTGGCCTACAAGAGAGGAAAGTGGCCAGCAAGTGCCACAAGTGGCCGGCAAGGTATAGACACCCCATTTTTGACCGACCTTGAGACTTAGACGTCACCAGTTGAGCGCTCGGTGATATTGCATATTGTGCTCGTTCAGAAGTTTCAGAGTCACGGCCGTGAGCCCTGCCTCCAGACTTCCAAACCCTCTTCTGTGCCTTGCTTCGGTTTGCGAACCAGACTCAATTTTCTCTGTTTCTTTTCCTGAGGGGAGGGAGAGGTCCCGTAGACCATCTCTCAATGGCCGTGGGCTACATTTTGTGGCCATAGGCCATTTTGCCCATTTCGGAGCCCAGTTTCCGGTTTTCGGAGCCGCCAGGCCGTGTGCCTCGGTTCGGGACCGCTTAACCATCTCCATTTGCTTTGATTTTTGGCATACATCTTATTTACTCCCTTTTGAGGGACACTAGGGTCTGAGAAACCCACTACGTGGCCGAACGCCACTTTCGGTGCTTAACAGTCCATTTTCGGGACCCCGAACTGCGTGTTTTGGCCCCCGAGCATTCGTTTTGCATCAGTTTTCGTTTATTTTTGGCAAGTACCTATGTTTTATCATCAGGAAGGTCACTGGAGGGTGGGAGGCCAGCAATTACCTTAGCAACCAGTTATATTCCATTTTCGCCCCCCCAGCGCCCGTTTTTCTCACTCCCGAGCTAATGTTGAACACCCTTGGGCCATTTTCTTGAACTTTTAACTCCATATTTGTGATGTACACACATGGGAGGACCCTAAAAGTTGGTGGCCGGCCACTAATGTTGCTTGACCCTTTTGAACCCCTTTTAAAAATGGCCTATTTTCTCTCCTGTTTTACAGTTTCCAAATTCGAACCACAGGGTTGTGATGAGGGGACCTGGGAGGACACTTTTTTGTGGTGGCCGGCCAGAAAATCAACTTGACCTTTTTGACCCCTAGCCGGCCGGCTAGGGGGGGTGGCCGGCCGGCCACCTGCAGCTTTGAAAGTTGGCCGACCTTAATCCTCACAATATGCACTTTACAGCTGTATAGCTGTTGTCCCCCAGAAATATCTTCATCCGGGGGACACCTTTTGGGGAAAGGACTTGGTCCTTTTCCCCCACCCTTTCCCTCCATACTCCCCCTCTCCTTGGTCCATATAATCAGCTGCCATCTCTTGTATTAGGGGTTAGAAAAATTGCTTCAAGCATATACATACATATCTCCATCCATCTCTCTCATTTTTCCTTAAAAACTCCTAAGTTCTACCTCATTTCTTCACCACCACCAAGCACCACCACCCCCACTCCATTTCCAGCAGCTTGAGGGGCTTTCCAGCAGCTAGGAGGCATCACTTTTCAAGCCAAGAAGCAACAAAAGACTTGTCTTCAAGGGTGAGTGGCATTTCCCCCTTTTTGGTCCATTTCTTGTATCATTTATAAGCTATACTTGCTTGTTGTTTTGAGCTCCGGCCCTAACTGAAAGTGGCCTTCTTTTGAGCTCTTTTTCACTTTTGCTTAAGGGCTCAACACTGTTTGAGGCCCGCATATTGCACTTGCTTCAATATCCTCCTTGAATGCCATTTTCTTGCATGATATTTTTAGCCTATATGTGATCTGTTTTGGAGCATTATGTAAACTGTAAATAGGCTTATTTTGAGCCCCTCTTCAACATTGAAGAAGGGCTCATCACCTTTTGGGACCTCCATGTGCCACTTGCCATTATACCTCTCTTTTGGTCCCCATTTTTGCATGCTTTGGCAGCCCATTGTGCTTCTGTTTTTGGCCTTTTTACAGTACTAAAAATAGTCTTATTTTGGCCCATTCTTCATGTTTCATTAAGGGTCCTAATCTATTTGAGGACAGCAGCTGTGAGTTGCTTCTTTATCTCATATTTAGGGCCATTTTCGCATGCTATTTTTGCCCTATTTGTGTTTGCTGTTTGGCCATGCTATGAACTGTAAAAATGCTTATTTTGAGGTTGCCTTTCTTCTGTCTTTTCATTCCATGTACCAATTATGCATGCTTTGTATAGCTGTAAGCCATTTCACGTACTTAATCTTGCATTTCGGGAGAAATTCCATGCATTGGGTATCATTTCGCCTCGTTTCGGGGCTGTTTTGCCCCTCATTTTGCTACTGAAAATTGCATGTTTGCATATCATATTCCATGTCTTTGCCATGTCTCATTAGAGTGGCATTTCGGTGCCTGAGGGTCGGTCCTCGGTTTGCGTGCACGTGTGCACGCATTTCGAGTTATCTTGTTTTCATCTGATGGCCTCCTATGTGAGTGTGGCTGAGGCTCTCTCATGTCTCTTAGAATCATCCTAGCATTCTATATGCCATTTTAGCCATATTGCATGTGTAAGCCCATTATTGCATTGCATATGCCATTGCCTCGATTTGCGTGCCGCGTTGCACGCGTTTCGAGGGCACTTCATTTTCATCCATCGCCTCTTATGTGAGTGTAGCTGAGGCTCTCTTATGTTAGGGATAAGTCCATGTTGCATTCTATATGCCATTTTAGCCATATTGCATTGCATATGCATTGCCTCGATTTTGCGTGCCCGTGTGCACTCATTTCGAGGCATCTCATTTTTACAGCATAGTGCATACTAGGTTGTATCTTAGATCGCATTCAGTCATTTTTCTCAGTTTGCGTGCCCGTGTGCACGCATTCGAGACATCTCATTTTCATAGCATTGTGCATTACTAGGCTGTATTCTTAGTTGCATTCATGCATACATGCATATTGCATCGTTGTTCGGGATAGGAGTTAGCGCCGGCACGGGAAACGAGGTGCGTTTCGTACTCCGAGTGACGGAACGTGTCTCAATTCCCAGTTACGACACTCCGGATTACCCATGATGGAGTTAGGTTCTTGTTGTGTTTACACGTGCATTCATTCTATATTGAGTTGCACATTTCGACCCTCTATGCCATCATGCATAGATATACGTGATTGGTGGCACGAGGATCGAGGCATGCATATATCCGTGAAAATACATTGCCATGCCCCTTTCCTGCTCTCTGTTGCAGCAAAATGAAGGAATCAGCAAACTTCCGGAGTTTGGCCGCTTTCCAAGAAAAATCACAAAACAGAGGCTAATCGGGGCATCCAGTGGATTTCCGCGCAAGGCAGCCTAAACATACATCATTCATCAGAAGCAAGGCAGTCCCTGCTTGCACTCCAGTTTTACAGTTTTCTTAGTTTAATTTGTTAAATTAATTAGGAATTTGTACATTATTCGCGACTGTATATTTGGACTGTAATATTCTTTTATTCGGATGTATATTTATTCCGGACCCTCTCGCGAGGGCACAACTGTAATAAGTGTGCGTGTGTGTGCTGTATGTCTTCCAACCCCACGTCTTTCTTCCCTTTTATTTACCTGCTTATGATGGTTAGATTAGGCATATTTCAATTAGCATACGTGTATGACAGCATGTTTGCATCATTCATCTGTTTTCATGCACGGCTCGGCGCATCATACTAACTGCATTGTGCTTTCAATTCCAAATTGAATACATGTTAGTTGTAGCATTTCATATGCCATGTTTAGAATACCGAGCCTGCTATAGTTGCATTTTTGCATGTGTTGCATTAGGCATTTCTGTATACTTAGGATTCATGCATGATTTCTAATGTAGTTTCTATTTTGGCTTGGAGTACTCGGTAAGTTTATGCTTTAGCATCCTTGCATGCGTGTGGAGTGACTGCCATGATAGCATGCTTACCATAAGGCTAATTGCTTATGTGATATAACTGCCTGAATGCCTGTGGGTGAAGGTTGGGTTATTTGGATTGGAACAATTCATCAAATGTTTGTTTTAAACCCACTAGATAGTGGCAAAACCATATTTTCTAAAGCCCACCCGAGGGTGGCAAATCCACGTCTTAGCCTACCTGCGGTAGCACCATCAAATACATTTTCAAACAAACAGACATGAAATGTTTTGTTCCATTCAGGCGACTCAGTCTATACTTGTATGCTGTGCGCATCACATAGTAACTAGGCTAATAACGGAATAAGAACATACAATGTTTTCAAAAATAGATATCATGGTTAGTAGAGGCCGGTCTCTGACGGGCGAGCGGGGGTGCTCACGAAGTGACCTTCCCCAATCGTACCCAAGTTCCGAGCCGAGGCAACTAAATTTCCCAAAATAAAATATTTAGGTGGCGACTCTGTATCTGGCAAAGCAGTCCATGTTTGGCACTTCTTTCAAAATCTGTTTTCTCAAAACGATTTGCCGGATTTGGACTATTTGGTTCAGATTTAGAACTGTGACAAATTTGAGAGTCCTGAGCTGTAGTGACCCCAACCAAAAGAACCGAACGGGAGCTCGTTCCTCCTGGGAGCGTTCGGGGACGTCTACACAAGGCCTTCTTCCCCCCCTAGGCAAGAGGCAACAAGGTTTGGCCCAAAAACAATGCCAAAACACAGAGAGTTAAGAGGCTCAAAGACAAGGCGCTCAGCCGAGCCCTTCGGGCGCTCTAAACAAGCACAAACATGCACAATCATCAAGTGTACAACCGATGACGTCAAAGTCTTGAGGTCGGTCAAAAATGGGGTGTCTATACACCACCATCAAAATGTAATTTTTTTTGCCACTACTCCATCGTAATGTAATTTTTCCAACAATAATCACCCCCTCAACTACATACATAAATTTATGATTACAAATCACAATTGCGGAATCATAAAAATACCCTTACTCCAAATTTGATTTTTATGCTCTGTTTGATTTATTGGAATGAGATAGAATGAAATTGAATAATTATTCCTTAAGTTTTCTTATGGAATGATCATTCTTTCAAAATAATAAAAGATAATTCTATTTGTAATGCATTTATCATATGAAAATGAATATTTTGATAGAATAATCATTTCAATCCACTTCATTTTAGTGAACCAAACACTATCCACAATGCAGGTTCCATGGAATTATCCATTTTCTCTAGTCTTTACTGTTTGCCTCTTAATGCCGTGATATTGAGGTGGACTGGTGGATAAGGCCAAACATGAATTTCATTCGACTCTTTGAAGGCAACAAGATATCACACCAATCAATATCAAGATATGAAGATTACAAATACACACATTATTAGTGCATAAACAGTAGCTAGCAATAGATATGAGTAATAAGAAGCAAAGAGATATTAATTTGATTGTAGTGAGATTTGAGAGACCAAAAGGGTTGGTTGGTTGTTGGACAATGGCAAATAGCTGTTCTTCTTTAGGGTGGGCAGCAAAATCAGCAAAATTAAACCAAGGCAACTCCTCCTTTGTAGCTCCAAATCCAATACGGAAAGCTTGTAGTAGTAATGAGTGTGAGTCCACTTGTTTCCCTCAACATGTTCATAATCATGGTCTTGGTCTTGGTCATGGTCATGGTGGTAATATTCCTTCATGTTCCTTTGGAGTTGAAGGGATATTTAAAGAACATCATAGAGCTGCTGCTACAATTGCTTCCAATATTAATAGCCATAGCCAAGCCGAGAAGCGTCGCAGGGACAGGATTAATGCACAACTTTCAATTCTTCGCAAACTAATTCCCAAGTCTGATAAGGTAACCTCATCATTATCCCTCTCTCTCTCTCTCTATCTCTCAACCCAGTTATGATTAGAAAAGCTATGTATCTCGAAAATAAACTGTATGCTATAGATTCAAACTTGACGTGACTTATATCCAAAATAAATAAAGTCTATACATTTAATTTTCAAAGCACTTGCTCTATTAGTAATAAATTATGGATGCCAGGCAAGCCAATTCCTCGGTTTTTTTTCCCCCCTCCCATATTGAGTGATGTAGTAGGTGCATCTAGAAAGTTAAAAAATTGAATTAAATAAAAATTAAAAAAAAAGTTCATTAAAGATTAAAAGAAAACAAAATAAAAAAACAAAAAACAGTTTAAAAAACTAAACCAAGTGAATTTGATTTCAATAGTATTATGAATGTTTGTTAGTTAGGATGAACAAAGAATGGACACTAGTTAAAAATGAGTCTACAATAGGCGTGCATATATGTTTGTATATCACACTATACCATGATTGTTTTCAGCGCATATCATCTGCAATCACTAGTTACCCAATTTTATTGCAAATCAAAATTCAAAAATAATTCATTCACATAATTCTCCTCCCCCCAAATCCCTCCGAATGTGTTTATGATGGGTAAGAAAATGATTTTGACCGGTAAAATTTTTTCTTACCAGTCAAAAACATATAGCCTTCCTAGCAAATATTTAAAGGAAAAAATAACCCTATTGGGTAGATAGATACACAAACCAAAAATGCCTTGAAAGCTCCCATCTTGCTCTAAAAAGAAAGAAAATGTCATATTCAAAATAGTATGCTTGGTTTACAGGTAATTGTATATTATATATCCCTAGTTTATTCACAAGATTTTATACTGAACGAAGTGCGCGCTAGTCAAAGTTCTACTTTATAAAAAGAAAATGAAAGGGAAAAAAAACAATCACTCTCTCTTTCAGTTATATATCTATAAACAAAGGCGAAGCTAAAGAACACAAAAATATGTTCAAATGCAGATGGATAAGGCAGCATTGTTAGGGAGTGTAGTTGAACATGTCAAAGATCTCAAGAGAAAAGCAATGGAAATAAGCAAAGTCATCACAGTTCCAACAGATGTCGATGAGGTCACCATCAACTACTACTACTTGGATGATGATGATCAAGATGGAAGAAGAAGAAGAAGAAGCTCCACCATCATCAATGGTAATAATGTCTTCATCAAGGCTTCTGTTTGCTGCGACGACCGGCCAGAACTCTTTGCAGAGCTCACCCAAGCTCTCGGTGGCCTAAAACTGAGTACAGTTAGAGCTGATATGGCTTGTTTGGGAGGCAGAATTAAGAGCATCTTGGTCCTCTGCACCAAGGATAGTAAAGAGGTTGTTTCCATGAACAATGTCATACAATCCCTTAATGGAGTATTGAACAGAATTGCTTCATCTTCCACAGGTTCAAACCACCGTGTAAAAAGCAAGAGGCAGAGGTTCTTCTTGCCTTCTTACTAGCCACCATGTTTTTTTTGAAGACCTTCGTTGAGTTATCACCATGTTTGGCTAAAGGGAATTTGAGTTCTTGGTAGACGCCTATAACTACAGCTTTCTTCCTTATTTGTAGTTCTCTAATTGTAACAATGATGATGAAGTTAGCATTCTGTATTGGTTAAAAAAAAAAACTCCAAAATATTTTGACTAGTAGCCAAAATTTAAATGGAGGTGATTGGCGGGTGTTAATTGGGTTTGTGTGTTTATTGTGAATTTCGTTTTGATGTTTTAAATTATTTATTTTATCAGATATTTTGTGAATATTATTTATATAAAAAAATTATATCGATATAATAATTATAACTTATTTAATTTATCGTGTATGTCATAAAAAATGAATGATCTATTAAAAACATGATCCTCGTCTATTATTTTTGTAAAAAACACGATAAATTAAATAAATTACAATTATAAATCGATTTAATATATACAAAGTATGATAAAATAAACGATTTGAATAATTGAAACGGGACTCATAATAAGCTTATGGACCCGAACAACACCCTCCAATCCAACTTATTGACCGGAGGGAATTCATCTCTAGTTTAAATATATAGTATAGATTTAAACTTGTGTGTTTTCTTAGAATGAATTTAATTCATACATTTCAAAATTTAGGCACTGTTTTTAAGAGTACTAATTTTACACGCAGGTCTCCGCTTTTATGTGAGAGCTTCTTTATATTTTGTGCACATATTTTCTGTGTAAATGATATTTTTCATTTTTAAAATGAGGAATGAAGTTTAAAAAAAAAATCATAAAAAATATTAATATAAAATGTTTTGACCTAACCTAAATTTTTCAATTTATAAAAAAAAAAAAAAAAAAAGACAACCACGAATGAAGATAGTTTTTTATTACAAAATTTACATTGTCATCATTCTTGTACTATTTTTGTCTGAATAAAAATTTTCCTCTCCATTAATATGGGTAGGGGTGGGAATCCTCTGTGTCATGTCATTTTCATATCATGTTATATTGGGTTCGTATTCAAAATAATTCAATACTAATATAGCCCATTTAATTAAACGCTTCAATTATTTTAACACAGACCTAACTTATTTATAATCGTGTTAGCCCTAATACGACACGCTTAACACGATTAGGAAAAGTTCAAATTTTAGATTATAAACAAATTGTACCGCCTATTGAAAAAAAAAAAATTTATTTCACATCACATGCATAAGAATAACTTGTTTAAATATTGACACATAATGATAATATATATGCCAATATTTATGATAGTAATTAAATATTCATCATTAATCCATGACACCTCAATCTAAATTATTATCACTCATTAATATTTAAATATTTTATAAAATTTTAAAAGCAAAACAAGTTTTCATCCAATACCAATAATAATAATGTTGCACCTATGCCACATCCAAAGTAACATTGTTGTGATTCTTTTACATTGACTTCTGTCATAAAAATATTGGGGCCAGACATTCAAAAATTCTCATTTCTACCAATCTTGACTTCTATCAATTTATCATTAATTTAGGGTTGCACTTCATTAGGTATATAGTTTATATAGAGATTTAAGTTTTAATATAACAGATGAGAATTAGTTGTTGTTTGGCATTGACTTTTTTAATTGGCTTTTTTGAGTTGGGACTTTTTTAGCTTGGGACTAAAAAGTTCGTTTGATTTGGCTTTTTTAACTTTTGTGATACAAAAAGTGAAATGATTATAGTTTAGATGTAACATTTTGTCTTATTAACATATTTAGCCTATTTTATATTTTGTGTTTTTTTAACCCAACTAAGTTAGTTAAACGAAGGCTTAATTACTCAAGATCTTATAGTAATACAGTTTGCATTCGGATTAAAGTCAATAGCGGGTTTGTGTCAACATGTTGACATGAATTTTTATGCGGATTAAACATGCCTATTTTAGGTCTCATGTGTTCAACCCAAACACAGCTCATTTAGGTCAAGTTTGGGAAGACTAAATAAGTGCACTTTTTGACTTTTTATAAAATATGGGTTGGATTTGGGTTGGGTTTGAAGTGATGTGTTAGAGACTTTTTTTTTTTTTTTTTTTTTAAACTTTTTGCTAAAATTCACAAAATGACAAAATCGACTAAAATAGTCAATAGACAAAATGTCACATCAAGTCCATAATCATTTCATTTTTTCTCTCACAAATATCACATCCAATTACAAAAGAAGCTAACTACCTTCCCAAAGACAAAAATTTTAACCTACTATAATAGTCAAAAATTAAAATAACCTACTAAAATAGTACTTAGGTTGTTTTTTTTTAATTTTTTTAATGACTTTTTAACTTTTTAACTAAAAAAATTACTTACCAAACGAGACTTTAATATACGTATTTTCGGGTCGTGTCATACATGGATTCAAATAAAAAAATGATTAATTCCAACCCTCTAAGTACGTGTGCAATTTGAATCGATTTAACAAGTTACATCTAAAATTTTTGCCCCATTATATGGGTGTTGGCTACATATTTTGTAAAAGCCAGTTACAGTTCGACACGTGGCAGAGTAAGGGTAATAAATGGAGGTTATTCAAGCCTTTAATCCTGATCGTACACGTGGCAATAAATATTGGTCCTCACATGATCTGAGTAACACTAGATCAATAACGGGATGCAAGATGACATATCTTCAACGGTTACTCATATTCAAATTCAAGTACAAGAGGGAAGCTCAACTGCCAGTAATGGCGTAATGGTGCTATTTGTAAGGAAGCATGATCAGCGATCATGGAGGAGCAGTTCGACGGTTCGAAGTGCAGTTCGAAGGTCATCACTGACGAGTATAAATAGCAGGGCAGCCCCCAGAAAAAAGGACGGACTCAGATCATACAAATCAGTCATTTACTTCATATATTTTCTTTTCCAGTCTTTTACATTTCCAGTCTTTAAATACCTGTTCTTTAAATACCTGCACTTTAAATACCCGCACTGCACTTCGATTCATAGGAGTAGCTTCAAGTAGATCCAAGTAGATTGCTGTTGTAAACCTCTCTGAGGCTGAGTTCGGACCATTGTAAGTGTTCATTTTTATGAAATACTTCAATTGTTCTTCATATTACTGTTATTTCTATGAACTTCTCCTAAGTCAAGCCACCAGTAAAAGTCCTCTTCATTGAGGCTGAAAAGAACTAAAACACAATCGTCTGATAATTGATTGGCAATCACAATTTCTGTAAGGACTGATTGATCCTTGCTGGCACGCTCACATTCACAAAAATACCCTTCGAAAAGCCAAAAAGCCAACAATGGGTAATTTGTTATTGGAGCCTAGTTTATGCTTTGAGTATTCCTCGTTGGCTTTGCATGATGAGGCTATCCACTCATGGTTGGATGAAAATGATTCAAATTTTATGGCCATCATGTTGTCTCTTGTCTGGAAAAAGGATTTTGAATCGTGATAGAATATTGGGCAAATTACAATGGTAATTTTTATATTATTTTAATTTTTTACAATATTAATTGGTTTAATATTGATCTTAAATTTATAATTTTGTCTATTTAATTTGATTATTCTGTTTGAACCAGGTGGAACGGGTCGGACTGATCCACGCTCCTCAAGCCTGTGTCCGAATGACCAAGCCCACCAGAAAACCTGCACAAGAGTTCAACGGGGAACGGGGAGTCCCCCAGCGAACCCTTCGACGAACAAGTTAGAGAGAGAAGTAGAATGTAGAGCTGGATTAGAGATAGAAAGCTTAACATTCTTCCCGTCTTCGACGTCTGCTTATATCCTCTGGTAATCATTTCGTTGGCGCTTCTGACCTGTCACCTTGGCCGAAAGTCTATGCTCTAGCTTACCTTATTCATGGTGAAGCCATTCTGTCCCGACAGAGAGGGGTTATCGCAATAAATGTTGTAAGGGGCTTCATTAATGGCGATGTGCAATGGCAATAACTTTGCAGATCTTTGTCTGCTTATGTGGCTTGCCCTTCTCTTGCCATGTGTTTTGATGTCATTGGTTCTCGTTGCTACGTGAGGCTTCAGCCATGCTTATATCCTCTGGTAATCATTTCGTTGGCCCTTCTAACCTGTCACCTTGGCCGAAAGTCTATGCTCTAGCTTACCTTGTTCATGGTGAAGCCGTTCTGTCCCGACAGAGAGGGGTTATCGCAATAAATGTTGTAAGGGGCATCATTAATGGCGATGTGCAATGGCAATAACTTTGCAGATCTTTGTCTGCTTATGTGGCTTGCCCTTCTCTTGCCATGTGTTTTGATGTCATTGGTTCTCGTTGCTACGTGAGGCTTCAGCCATGCTGGGCTTTAGTATTTGAGTTATATATTGGGCCCTAAATGGTGGGCTATAATCTTTATGGGCTTATCCATGTCAGTAGTATCCCATTCCCAAGTGCAGCTTTAGTCCAACGAAAGGAATAATGAAGAAAATGAGGGCTGTGAGAGACCGACAAGATGAAAGTCGACCGAGAGAAGTGACCGACCATAAGGAGGGCCGACCGTGAAGGGTGGCCGAGGGGAGGGACCGACCTTGAGGAGGGCCAATCGCGAAGGGTGGCTGAGCGGAGGGACCGACCATTAGGAGGGCTGAACGGAGGGACGGACCATGAGGAGGGCCGACCGCGAAGGGTGGCCGAGCAGAGGGACCGACCATGAGGAGGACCGACTGCGAAGGGTGGCCGAGGGAGGGACCGACCATGATGAGGGCTGACTACGAAGGGTGGCCGAGCGGAGGGACCGACCATGAGGAGGGCCGAACGCGAAAGGTGGCCAAGCGGAGGGACTGACCATGAGGAGGGCCGACCGTGAAGGGTGGCTGAGTGGAGGAACCGACCATAAGGAGGGCCGACCATGAGGAGGGAGTGGCGGTGCGCAGGACTCGAGGGACGGTGGGGCATGTGATGATTTGAAGTGGAAAAGACAGGGTAGAGGAAGGGGGCAGTGAATCGTGGTCGTACACGTGGCATAATCCTATAGTGGGGAAGGTTAGGCGTTGGGCAAGAAGTGAAACGATAGGTCATTATAGGGTGTCGAAAAGATAGTTTTGGCGGATTGTTGAAAATTTTCAAACTGGCGAAAATTAATTGTGATCCTTGGAATATAGGCAAGCCTTGGGCTTTTGGTATTATCCGTCTTACATATCTCTTTGCAAACAACCAAAATATTCCAAGTGTAAACTCCTTTGTGTCGAGTGATACCCCTTTACAACATTTCGTGGACTATCTCGCA